TAGCATATGTCCCAAAACTTTCAGCATTTATCATAACACCTGAGGAGAGAGCTTGTAGAATTATGTAAAGTCGCTTTATCAAATTTTTATTTACTCCAGTGATTTCAGAAGAGCAGCTTGCATTGTAAAAAAATCTCTTAGCAGTATTACCATCATTGGCATTACTACTTATTTTTTTGGTTTGTCAACAATTAATCCTAGCTGCTCACAAAAGTGCTTCTGTACCAAGGTCTTCTTCTGTTTCTTTTGTAGTTTTTTTTCTTCACCTTTAGCTGACCATCTTTGGAAAGACAGGTTGTAGGAAATATGTAATATCATTTCCATACACCGAATCCAGGCATGTAATATCGACAGTCCATATTGATAAGAACTTTCATTTTCAGGCCTAGTAGACACTTTAGTCAAATCATTCATTTATCGTGGAGTAGCTCCACATATTGTACATGTAGACGCAGAAGGCTTATCCGTTAATACCTGAGCCACTTTTCCATTTATCATTGTTAAAAAAGTTCATGTTTTACTTGCATTCTTTTACAACTTTTGTTAATTATAGATGGCTGTAAAGAGTATATTTGGCTTTTTATTTCATCTACAACAATTTTAGTTTTCTCAGGAGTCTATGCATATAGGTTGACAAAAACGTACAGACGAAGGAGCCAGATTTTGCCAAACAACTGTGCCAGTTGTTTCATCAACTAATTTGATCGGTACCAAAGAACTAATAAATAAATTCGCATCAGAAATAAGTTCAGATTCCATCGGAAGTTTCTGTTGCTAAATAAAAAAGCGTCCACTTTCCGTGACGCCTTGGTCCATCGTTTATTAAACGACAGAGTAATGTTCCTTTGGATATCACTAACAATAAAACACAAGCTATCCTGAGTAACTTGATAATTTTCTTTTAAAATTATTAATAGTGTCTCAGCTGTTATTCCTCCATCAATATAGGAAAGTAACAGTGTTTAACAGTGGAAAGTAACGGCTTTTAAGTGTTCGAAACGTCAACGTTTCGAACACTTTAATTCTGTCATTTTAATTTGTTGCAGTTATATAAATATTTCAACTCTTTATATAATATTTTTTAAATGACGCAGTGTTCACAAATTGCTGATAAAATTTTCACCACAAAATGCAAAAATAATTGAATGCATGTCCATCAAAATCAATTCTCAATAAAAATCAGACAGAAAAAAAACTTTTGTTATAAACAGATAGTCTGAAACCACGATAAAAAACGGTTTTTTGTTTTCTGACTTTTATTACTTTTTTATCTATAGCTTTTTAAACCGCACATATCATCACATGATTTTTAATGAATCATCTTTATAGACACCTAAGCTACTAATTAATTATAAAAATAAAGCGTCGGAAAGCGTCGGTGACTGCCAAAATTATCAGTGAACTTTAAGATTTTTTTTTTTCTTTCTTACTTTATAGTTCAATTAATTATTTGTAAACAAAATCATATTATTAAAAAAAAGGAATTTGTTCTAAAATCTCCATAACATGATGCTTTCAAAAATATATCCCAGTGGGAAAAAAGACATCATTAGACGAATAAAAGGCGTCTTTTTTATGACTTGTTATGTCTTTTTGTGATCAGCCAAAATGAAGACGTGGAAAGACGCCTTTTAAAAAGATGTCTTCAAAAAAGAGGTCGAAAAGACAACAATCGGTTGTTAATAAGGAAATCATTATTTGCTTAAGAAAATTAAAAATAATTATTGCCAATAGAACCTAACAAAAATGAGTTTTAACCCACAGTATCGTAATTACGATATCTTTGTTACGTTCTGATTGGCCCGTTTTTTGTTTACAAAATACTTTTATATAACTTTTATGTGAAACGTTTTTGCATAGGAAATTTAATTGAAAATTAACTTTTTTCGGTGAACGGGTTTATTTAATAATTTATATAGCAAAAGTGGATGGCGTGGTGCCAGTAAGATGGTATCGGTATGATCTAGTCTTAATTAAGTCAGTCGCAGGTAAGTGTTTTTAAAAAGTTTAACCATTTATTTTTAGACTTATTTTTAAGTATTTGTGCTTGGAGAACGTTGTTTAAATTGTTATGAGTCTACAACACTTAACTTCAGCAAAATTCAATTAAAAAATCGAGTTATAGAAGACAGAAAAATATCAATATCTGTTTTCAATAACTTGGTTTTTATTGCAAACCAGATAGGTGCAAATGTTTAGCTTAATTTAAGTACTACATAATAAAATACATCGCTGTATAGTCATTTTGATGGTAGTAAATGGACCGGGATGGAAACATGAGTGGATTATAAGGATCAGCCCTTTTTGAATTATTAATTGGTAAGTATAATGTGCTCCATTCAGCTAATCAAGTTTTGTTTGCTTTTTTTGTATTACATTTAAGCAATAGACTGTTTTTTATGTTCACTCGTTTTTTAGAAGTGGTAACCAGCTAGAAGTCGTAACCTGCTTGTATGAAAGGATTTCTCGACGTGAAATTGTTAATTTTATTCAACAACGCCAAGCAACAGAGCTCGCTCAAGAAACAGAAAAGAAAGAGAAAGATAAAAAAATATTCTGTTGAACAATACTATTGTTTTGTTTATAAATTATTCTCCTATATTTAAATATATAAAAGATGTTGAAAATGCTTCCTTTTTTATATTGAAATCTAAAAGAGGTTTTTTTCTCGGCATCGGAAAAAGCTTTTTGTCATATTTTGTATGAAGAGCTATTATCATTTTCATTTGAAAAAAATAGCTTTTCATATAAGAAAAGAAGGAATACTATAGTGTATAGGATACTATAGCATACTAATAAGTATGGCAAAAAAGCATATTAGACTAAAAAGATTTGCATATTAGACTAAAAAAAAGCGTCTTAAAGGCGCATTTTTTATGTCTTTTCATGACAAAATTAAGGATAAAAAAAAACGTCTTTTCGATGTCGAAAAAAGATGTCTTTTAGATTTGCATATTCGATTAAAAAAAGACGTCTTAAAGACATCGTAAATAAGACTTTTAAAGACGTCTTTTCGACGTCTTTTGTCCCACTGGGATAATACTAATTAGTTTAAATTGAAAATTTTCAAAAATATGAAACGATAGGGTTTCAAAAATGATCTTTTTACAAAAAATTAGGTAAAATTCCAACATTATAGTAAATATTGACTATTAAACTATTAAAAAATATACATTTAAAATTTCAGTAGTGAAATTGAAATTTGACCAAAAAATATTTATGGTACGATTTTGTAGTACTATTTTCCACTGTGGGGCGTGTTCAACACGTTTTTGTGTTATTCTAAAGGGCTGGTCATATGGATGAAAAACTTCCTGTTGAACTGAAATCCCCTCTATCTTATAAACCTCATTTAATTTTAACCCGGCGTTCATATGTCAAATAATTTTTGGTTTTATTAAGGTGCCCCTAGAAGATCTAACGGTCTTGTCACAGAGCATCGCGGAAGTGCATTTAACAAGGAAGTTCATGCCTTCTTCCTTACCGTGACGCGAAAATATGTGCAGAACTCGTTTCAAACCTGAATCCTCTGCTTATAATGCAAGCGCTGTAACCAATGTGCCACGGCCGCTTTTAATTGACAAATTTCAACTCGGCGTTCATGTCAAATAATTAATACCGCATAAGCAAGATCTTTCCTGTGAACAATCGAGATCCCGGTTAGGTGGGGTAAAAATTCTTCAGATGAATACAAGATAAAAATCAATTAGGCTGGATAAAGCCGTTTAGTTTTTTAAATTAAAAAGCTTTTTGTGCATACACTAATCGACATATATTGCGGTTTATTACAACATATTGCAATATTATTGCGCGTTCAATTTAAATTGCTATATATTGCTCAATTAATTGTCCAATAAAATATCAATAAAATTATACAAATGTAATGTGTTTGTAAATGTAATTTAGATGCATTTAAATATAAATAATTCTGATGCTTATCTAATTGCCTGTGTCATTTTTTTGTTTTACATAAATTTAATGGGTTTACAAGCAGTAGCAAGATTGTTGTTAAAATATTACAATATAATTGCAATATAATTGCTATATAATTGTAATATTATTGCAATATTATTGCAACTAATATTAGGTAATCGATTTTATGATTGTAACTGAAGTTACAAGCATGCTTTCATTGGACTTTATACTGCAGTGTAAGTGCGGCCAGGCAGGTTTCTTCGGCGCACGTTAGACATCGCTTGCATGAGCCCAGCAAACCTGTCTGGCCACACAAGATACCCGTGCAAAAATAACATAGTTATTTATAAGTAAAGACTCATAAAATTTTATTAATGGTGAATATATGTGCAATGAAACGAAATTTTTTTAATAGAAAGTACGAGAGAAGAACTTTACATTTTACGGCTGAGTCTACTTCTTCTGAAGAGGAAATTACTAATAGTAGTTCTCAGTCCGACTGTAGCAATACAGATGATAATGTTAATGATGGTAGTTTTACCCAAGAGACAGAAGAAATTGTATCTATAGTATCTGAGGGAGAAAATCAAATTCTAGTATCTGAGGAAGAATCGTTCTTTAGTTCTAATCCATTTGAATGTTCTTTATTGGATTCAATTGTTAACAAAAAGTTTATGTTTTTAACTTTGTTGTATTTAATGATTAGCAATTCATTTACTGAAATCGCATTTGATAGATTTTTGAAGACTTTGCTGGTATGTTAGATGTAGTTTAAATTGTGCAATGTACTTGTAAATGAATATTGTGAAGCTAATAAAATTATCAATCAACTTAGTCCTTAGCAATAAATGTTGATCTGGCTATTTATCTCTGGCTGCTACCAGAAATGGTGCACATTGCCAATAATTTGTAAAAAAAGTCTGATAAAGTAATGCAGAACGTTCCTAATTATAAAACATTTTACTTGTGAAAATTTTATCCGACTTTTTTTACAAATTATATATTATATAATATTTTACAATTATATATTATATATTTTATATCTATAGTTTTTACAAATTATTTTTTTTACAAATTAAATTATAAAAATAATGAAGTATGTCATATTTTTATTTCAACTTGAGGCTGGGGTCTGGCCCAGGCTTAGTTTGGTTGATAAAGCTTGAAAAAATATATTTTTAATTTTTAAATTTTTTTAATAGATTTTTCGCTGTATAAATGACATGCCGTCATCTCCTAAAATGATTCGTAGATTTGTTACTAAAAATATATTCTCCCATACTGAACCAACGCATAAATATTATTGTCATAATTGCTGCACAGCTTTAGTTGACACGTGTAAAATAAATACTCATTGTTCATCCCATATCTTTATATTGGATATCATTAGCCAAATGAAACTTGTTTTATTTCTGAATTTGGATGCAATTAAATCATATCAATTGGAAATTATGTCAGGTAAAAGAAAGAGTGATTTTATTTCTAGACCAAATTTTGTTGAAAATATGAAGTCTGCAAATGTTTTACATATTCATTTATTGATGTCAACAGATGGTGGAGAACCATACACAAAAAAAAAGATTACAATGTGGCCATTTCATGCTATTATTTTAGATTTACCATCTTATAAACGATTCCTATTTGAAAATACACTACTTCTTGGTTTATGGTTCTCATTATTAAAACCTAATTGGAATGCTTATTTAAAGGTAATTAAATTATTGATTGTTGTTTTTTATTTTAAAAGTAGTTGTCAATGGAATTACCTATAGTAGTAGAATTCACTGTTCCAGTCGTGACAAGAATAAATTGGGCAACGTTACTATATTACTAACTTTTTTTTAGGAGTACATCAATGGAAAACTGTTTGAAACACCCCTTGAAATTAACAATATCCAAGTAGTTATTCATATTGTTGGTTTTGTTTTCGATTTGCCTGCAGTGGCTTCAATCATCAATCATAAGCAGTATAATGGTGAATTTGGATTTCACTATTGCGAACATCCTGGTAGAACAATTGAAAGAAAACATGGTTCCGCTAGAATTTATTCACATTCAGATACAAATTATAATCTTAAAACATCTGAAATGTATGCCATATATGCTAGATTAGCCGAAAAATCAAAAGTATCTGTATTTGGAATTAAAGGCTCAAACATCTTTAGTGACATTTCATTTATTAAAGTGCCAGTTATGATACTTATTGATGTGTTACATTTGTTTTACGAAAATTGCTCAAAAAAGCTTTTAGTTTGTTTATTTTCTGTTACCAATAAACACGAATCATTTTTTATTGGTAGTGCAAAATTAAATGCTATGGAAATCTTACTTGCTGATCAAAAAATGCCACATAACATGCCCAAGCCATTAACTATTAAATCATTCACACATTGGAAAGGCCATGACTTTAAAAACTTTATTTTATACTTAGCAGTTCCATATTTTTTACCATATTTGAATCCTGACTGCATGATGATGATTTATTCTCTAGTAATTGGTATGCGTTTGTGTAGCAGTGAAATATGTTTAGATAAGGTGTTGCTTATTAGTCAGCTGTTTAACTTTTATCAAAAATCATTGTCTGAGTTGCTTCCTTTATATATGAATACTATAAATGTTCATTTGCTTGGTCATGTTAGCGATATTATTAAAATGCATGGAAGTGTTACAAATTACTCAATGTTTTGTTTTGAAGCTCGGCTAAGTAATTATAAAAAAATGATGAAGGGAACACATGGTCATCCACAACAGATTGTACAAAAATTTCTTGACTTCAAAACAGCTTCTTGTTTTTTGCAAACAACAGATCATCCTAAAAAAGTTGAAGTTTGTAAAGCATTAAATATTGGCATTATTGAACAAGAAGAATTGCAGTTGTTAAATCCGGGCAGATTGTTGAAACATGGTATTGTTTACCATTCAAAAGGTTATGGCAAACATAACAGCTACACTTGTCAATTTGGACATAATAAGTTTGGTATCATATTAGATTTTCCTTTAGTTGACAATGTAATACATGTTCAGTTACAACTATTGAATGTGAAGTGTAAGTTAGTTTCTACTTTTGGTGATATGATTGGAAATTTGGAAATTAACTTTGATGATGACTTTTTTTTTATTGTTGAACAAACAAAAAACATTGTTGTTATTTCAGCTGACACTTTAGTCTGCAAATGTATATTAATTAAAAGTAAATTAGATACAAAAGATGTATTAATTTTGACACCATTGAAAGAACTTTTCGAATATGCTTAGGGTGGCTAAATGTAAATTTTGTAATTAATAAATATGCTTCACATCATGCATGTGTGTTTTTTTATACTAACAAACATTTTTGTTTTTAATATTTTGATAATTTGATTTAAAATAATTTGATAATTTGATTGAATTTTTTTACAGGTTTATATTTTATTAAATAATGACTTACCCTGATAGAAATAGAACAAAGAAATTAGATTTTGTAGACACTCAAAAGCTTTCTTCTACGTTTGTTCTTTTATGGTACAAGGATTGTGAAAAAGATGAGCGACATACCTCTCCCATATCACTTTCAAATACACTTTTTAAGCATTATTCATCCGTTGAATGCCTTGAATTTCAAGTGGTAAGTGTTTTAAAAAAAACTGACAGCATTTACCATACATAATATAATTAAAGTCCACCCTTAAATTTTATCCCCCCTCCCTATAATTGACAAAGAAGATAAATTTTGTTTTGTTTTTTTACATACCAGCTATTAGCTGAATATATCAGCTATCAGCTATTAGCTGAATATATAGAAGCCCACCTTAAAATAGAAGCAAGTATTTTAGATGCCCACGAATAAGATAAAAATGTTTTTTTTGTTTTTTTACATAGCTGAATATATAGAAGCCCACCCTAAAATGGAAGAAGTATTTTAGATGCCCACTTTTTAGGGATGTTGAAAAATGGAAGCCCCTGCTTTTATTATACTATTTATGGTGTGTTGATAATTAAATTTAATGTTTTTTTACTTATTAGATAAATGTAGTGCATGTTTCTATTGCAAATATACAACACGCAGCTGTCATCATCTATAAGGGGTCTATTACCCAATGCTGTAAATTTGAAACATTGCTAGATAACTTCATGGACGATTTTGGTGATGAAAATCCTAGCACTGATGAAGTAAGCAAGTTTGCCCTCAATTATATTGAAGGCAATACTGACGGAAAAAGAAAACATTCTGATGGAGACCAATCCTCAGGTAACTTATGTAATATAAATATGTGACAATGACAAGACAATATTATAGTAATTTTATTTAAAATTTACTCTTCTGTGTAGTGGTGAACTGGACCATGGTGCCGGAGTGCAATAGCACCCTGGGTCAAAAAAAAGGAGGTTACCTTTGTTACCAGACAGAGTTTAGTTATTATGTCTGCTACACAAGTAATAATTAATTAAACATTTTTGCTAAATAATAAAAAATGACACAAAATTCACACAAAAATTATCAACACAAGTTAAAGTTGCACTATCCGATGGTAGGTGGGGATCTATTGGATCCACTAGCAGCCTAGCCCCTAGTACACCCATGATTATATGTTTGTAACCACAACTTGTTCATGTTTTTTTTTATAGATTCAGAGAATATTGCACCGGTCTCAGAACATACAGGCCTAAACGGACCTAAATATAAATCGACTCCTAAATCAAAGGTGCTGAAAAAAAAACATGTAAATGAAGTGTTGAATGAAAATTCAGGTAATTTTAATAATATTACAATTTTGTTTATGTAATTTCTTGAACATATTTTTATTGTCTTTTTCATTTATAGAATCAGAGTCCTTTGCATCATTTTATAACAGTCAAAAAGGATCTAAAAAAAGTGAAGCACAGATTATGGCTTTGGAAAAGCGGAAGCTTGACATGCTACTTGACAATGTTGATGCTCCCAGAGCATTGATACTTCCAATAATTAGTGATGTTCCTAAAACAAAACACTGTGGTTCACCGAAGTTAAGCAAACTATCTTGTTTAGAAGGTTAGTTACAGTCCTATAGTATGAATACTGTGTTTGCCTAAGTTCTACCATATTGTACTTGTACATAGAAGTGCTATATATTTTTTTTAACATTAGCAATTTTGATTGAACAAAAGAAACTTCTTTTTGAACAAAAGAAGACCAACAAACTGTTGTCTGAAACTTTGCGCCCAATAGAAAAAGAATCTGTAAATAATGATAATGTAAGTCAATTTAATTTTTGTAATTTAATTAAAAAAAGCTCATCCAATGAGAGCACAACTTGCTAGTATTTACCAAATTGAATAAAAGAAATATTGATTGCTAAAGGAAAGGTACATTTATATACAAAAGGTTGCATAATTTGACCATCCATTGAAAAATGTTTACTAAATCCGAACTTATCTGTATTATACTTTTTAGGCCGTGTATACTGGTTTTGATGCCGAATTTAAATTGCACGACATTCAAAAACGAGAACCATGTAGCTTTGCAAAAAAATTTATTTTGTTGCGATTCGGAAAGGAGTTTACTTGCACGCGTATTTGTGAACCAAACGGACCTACTGCACGCATTCATATGGAGAATGAAGAAATTCAGGAAGTTAAAGGTGCACTTGACAAAGTGTTTACGTCTTACAACTGGCGTGTTGTTCGGGCGAGTATTAATCAATTTTTCCGAGACAATAAAAGTAGTACAAAAGTTTGAAGACTAAACAAATGAGTGACATTTTTCTTGTGGTGTGGGGTTGTCAGCGTTTTTCGCTTATCCCCCCCCCCCCCCCCGATTCTATCTGTAATGTGTTTTGTATGTTTTGTGTGTTAAATAAATACACCATCTTATTTATTCTAAATTTAGTTGTTTATTTAATTTTTAAAATTCGAATTTAGTATGAATTGAAAGTGTACATAAATGTTTCTTTCAAATGTCAACTTTCAGCGCTGCTGCTAGACGATAATAAAATTGCAAAGAGTTTTATTGTCAATATTGCGAGATTATTGCCCAATATAATTGCAATTTTATTGCGAGATTATTGCCCAAGATATTGGCCAATATTATTACAATTTTATTGTCAATATTGCAATATTATTGCCCAATATATTGCCAATCCATTGCAAGTTATTGGCAATATTGGCCAATAAAATTGCAATATTATTGCAATTAAAAAAAATATATATTGATTAGTGTACATAAGTAGAGTATTAATCCTTTATATAATCATGCTGTATAGGGTGTCCTAGAAGCAAACTTTTTTTGACTACTGAAAAAAATCAGTAGTCAAAAAGTAATATCTGTAAAACTTAATTTCAATTTTAAATTAGTTTGTAAAGGAATTTTTTTCTCGTCTTTTTTTTTATTATTATTTAACTTATTGGTAATGTCTGAGTTGAACAAAGATATTATTAGTCTAAGACATGTTTTAAAAGCATATTTTATTTTGAAACAGGTTCGGGTATGCATACACTAAATTTTATGAGGCTCACAAACATGCTTAACTTTTGATCAAGGGGGTTACATTGGAAAAGGGGATACAATTGCACCGCCACCACCACACCGCCCACCCCCCTATTTAGATATTTTTGGAAAGATTTTTTTTTGTTTATTTATGTATTTACGAAAACATGTTGTTTGAAGACAGAAGTAAATTAGGGAATCTGTTTAAAAGTGATAAAAAATTTTAATATAACTGTGTGGTGCAAAAAAAAAAATCGTATAACTTATAGCGTATAACTTAATTAACTATAGGGAGGAAGGGGGAAGAGGGGCAATTTTTAGTTTTCATTTAACCTAAAAATTGTCCCCTTAGTTTAAATCCACATAATCAAAAAATTGCTTCCCTCTTTCCATCCTAGATGGTCTAGACCGAACCCAATCACCGAATCAAAAAATTCTAAAAATTGCCTTATATATATATATATATATATATATATATATATATATATATATATATATATATATATATATAAATATATATATATATATATATATATATATATATATATATATATATATATATATATATATATATATATATATATGTTATATACTTAATATATATTAAAAAAAATTAAACTATAAACTAAAATAATTAACCTACTATACATTGCATTTTGTTCTATCTCCTTATTCCTGTTTAAAAATTAAAATTATAATGTGCTATCTCCAATCAAAAGTTATTTACACCAAAATAGTAGCGAATGTTTTTACAACAGAGAAATAACAAAACTTTCAAGGTAAACATGTTATTGCTCACACACACACACACACACACACACACACACACACACACACACACACACACACACACACACACACACACACACACATATATATATTATTTTAAACCATCAAGAAATACAGTTTCTTTCAATACAAATAATTTTATTATAGAAGAAATTTTCGCTCGGTTATGGATACCAGCATCATCAGGTTGTAAAATATTACAATAATTTTAATCGTTATAGTTTATATAAAATTGTTACTATTGACGTCAGTGGTTGAATTGCTTCTTTTAATTTTTAAATTTTAAAAATAGCGTCCAAAACATAGATTTGACATATTGGCCTTCATCAAGATTAATCCCACCGTTTCGTGCAGAACAGATGTTGTTTTGTATTTCTAGTGCCGCTAATTTTTCTTTCAAACTTTTTATTTTCTACCTTTAACGTACTTGTTTTTTCCCAAATAATATCTTTTTTGCAAATGGCTTTATGAAATGCTAATGCAGATTGATTAGGCTTCTTTTCATTAATGCTCTTCTGATGTTAATCCATCCGCTTATTTACCTGCTTTTTTTATAAAGTCAAAAGAGTTTTTTAATCGTGTCGGATTTTCATTTAAGACTGGTTGTATTGTCTTAACTAAGTATTCTGATATTCCGTGGTTTGGTGTGCCAATGGTAGAAATAATTATTCTCATAGGGTACAACTTCTCTGGTTTATGAGCTTTTATTACTCCATACATTAGAGGTGGGATAGGATCACTCGGATATATTTTTTCGTATTCCTCTTTAGAAAAACGCTGTTTTTTATTTAGTTTTGAAAGAAATTTAATTTTTGCCGCGTTACTGGCTGTAGGGTCTTCACTAATAATTTTTGTCGCACCAATTTGTTCACGGATTTTTTCCAAAGCTTTAGAATGTTCAATTCTTAGAAAACCTATTTCTTTGTCAAACGAGTATATAGCAATAATTTCATCGTTTTTTATTTCTCTAAAAGATATCCTCTGTTCTTTTTTTCAGATTGTTATTTAGGATTGGCACATTAACTTACTTTTTTTTTACTTACACGAATAAGTAAAATTTTTTGAAAAAGTTTATTATGTAAAATTATTAAGATAAAAAGTTATTAGTAAGTAATTGTCACCGTTCAAATTGAATTTACATTTACAAAAAAGTAATTAATTTTTATGAAACGAATCTTACTTTATAAAGTAAATTTTTTTACTTTCAAAAGTTTTTTTGCAAAAAATTTACTTGCAAAAACAGATTACATTAAAAAATAATTTACTTTTACAAGTAAAAGTAAGTCTCATAAAAAAGCAATTTACTTTTACATATAAACATTAATTACTTTTTCAAATTACATTAAATAATTTAATAGTTCCTCAAAATGTAATTTACATTTACATTTAAAAATAATTTATAAAAAGAATATTATATTACCGTAATTGTAAGAAAAAACTTTTATATGAAAAAGAATTACATAAAAGTAATAGGCGACCAAATTTAAATAAAATTTACTTATAAAATAATATTATATAAATTATCATTTTTCATTATGTAAGTAAAAAAAAAATTCTTGTAAAAAATAAATTATATAAAGAAAAAATTCTAATACATCAGCTTATATTTTATACAATTTTTAAAGTAAACTAAAAATAATTTATATTTTATAAGTAAATTTACTTCAGTGGCGGATTAAGACTTCTTGGAGCCCTGGGCTATTTTTGTTTTTGGAAGCTTTTTATGAGCCAGAACCTAAAAATAATTAAAAAAAAAAAAAGTCTTTAAAAATTTTTGGGGCCCCTAAATTTGCGGGGCCCGGGGCAATAGTCTCCCCTAGCCCCCCCTCCCCCTTGATCCGGCACTGATTTACTTATATTCTAAAATAAATTAGAGAGGATATTGTGCAACTGACTGAAATGCAAAAAGTACAACTTGCATCAAAGTAACTAACATTAATTTTTGGCGACATTTTTTGTGAGCGGTTTTGGTTTTTTTCCGTTGTAAATTTCGATGTATCAGTATTTGGTTTATAGGCATCAAAATGTTTCCGATTAAAACCATTCTTACTCCCGGTCCATGACTATATTGGGCAGTACTAGACTATGTGGTGGTGGGTAGGTTTAGGCGGCAGCCATAAAATATTCAAAAGGACCGTTTTTTTAAATTCTTAAATCACTTTAGATGTTGTAGCCTTTAAAAATAACAAAAGATAGGTGTAAGAGTGGGCTACAACTTTATGTTAAACTCTAACCACCGGGCGTTTCGGATGGATAGAGGGGGCACCAAACCACCACCAGGCCCGTTTAAGGTGGTTATCAGGTAAAAAAATTATTTTTTGATTGCCAACTTAATCATATACCAAAGTTAGTTTAAAAGAAACATACTTATTAATATAATTAAAAATGATAAAAAAAAAATAATTTCCTTTTTTTTTTTGCTGAATCAGCATAAAATGCAAAAAAATCAATGAAAAAAGAAAACAACATTTTCTCAGCCTCTTTATGACATTATAAGCCAAAACTTACAACACTGATAGATTATAGTGTATTAAACAAAAGCTTACTAGAAAAACTAAAAATAATTATTATTTTTAAAATGGCAGCTTTTTCAATTTTAACGGAAATTATTGATACAAAAAAAAAAGGTAAAATATGAATATATTCAAATGGAAACAAGCTTAAGATTAGTTCTAGTAAGCTATTGCAGTTCTATCTATAAAGAAACAACCCTGAAAATTTGAACTCAATTGCATATCTGGTTAAAAAGATATGAATGATTCGCTTATTGCAGTCAGGCAAAAACAAACAATTGAGAAATCAAGCTTCAAAGTTTAAAAACAATTTATTAATTAAAAATTTCCTGTAATATAAGAGTCTACTCCCTCTTTTTCTTTCTCCTTATCAATATAACCCTTCCTGATACATCTCCTTTTCCTTCTAGCCCTTTTTTGCTTTGGAGTTGAATTTTTAATCGTGTTCTTTACTCTTGATACATCCTTCTTCCACGATCCTTGGATCATAAAACTTCCAGGCAAGAGCTGCAAATAATCAAAAATTCTTGTGAAACCTCTCAAACCATCATTGTAATTTATTACAGCTGAAGCAACACCAAGATCTAGTACCTTTTTAGTAACAAAAATATTTTTTGGACACTTTTTCCAGATTATCTGGTTGAAAGCCTCATTTGGATTTTGTGTTGCGCCATCCAGGCATCTTGATAACAAATCATCTGACCGTAGTGCCAAGAATGTGTCTTTAAGAATACTTTTAATAGCAAGAGGCAAATTAATTGATGGTTTATAATTTTTGTCATTCTGCCAATACTTGCACCAGCTTTCCTTTGTACGTGGACAAAATTGATGTCTCTCTTCGCTGTTGCTTATATTCGAGCAATGCCACAATACAGCCAAAACAGATTTTTTCATATTGTACAAGGCTATAGTACGGTCTCCACTCCATGCTTCTAAGGTATTTTGCCTAATGCTCATGCCATAAAAATTTTGCATTTTATTAATGATCTTATCTGTCAACCTTCCTTTCCCTGATATAATTTTCCCATCTTCTAACTTTTTACCCTTTTTTAAGTCACATCGCATTTGACGTAACCGGGTGCCTAGGCGTTTTTGGACATGACCGACGCACTCTATTTTTACTGGGACAAGATCTTCTCCATATGGCTTTGCCTTTACAACATTTGTATAAGATTCAGTATCTCCATCTCCTATATAATGAGAATAGCGAACATTGTACTTTGCCAATGATTCCGTAAAAAATGATAAAGCACCTGCTGATTCCATGGCACCTGATGATTTAAAGTGGTTAAGGTCGCAAACATGTGTCTTCAAAAACTTTCCATAACCGCTCTTATTTCTCTTACTTTGCCACAAAGCACAGCCACGACAAAACTTTGAAAATACTTGGTAATCGACAACTTTACGGTTAGCTTTTGCAACAGCAGTGCATACACTATTTAGAGATGAATGACCACGTTTCTGCCATGAACCGTCAATTCCAATTTGTATATCAACAATATCATTTTCAGCAGCATTTGGAAAATCTCTTTTTCTTATCTCTGTCACAGCATCCTTCATGCTATCACAAGAAGCAGCTTCATAAAATTTTAATAGGTCAGAGTTTATTTCATTATACGAGAACAAACTCATTGGTGGGGGCATATTCAAAATAGATGCAAATATTTTCATTGCCTCGTGACCTTGCCCAATTTCTCTAAAGGCCATAACAGTTCTAACATTAATTTCTTGAGATTTTACTCCTCTGGTATCTCTATCAGGTATACTAAATGCTCGAGATGAATTAAAGAAGTACGTCCATTCACAAGTTGCACATTTAATACAAAATTGTATTGAAAATCCCTTGGCTTTTTTATCGAGATATTCAAGAGCAATATCCTTTGAATTGCATTCACCACAAGATCCAATGCTACAAATTAAATCTTTAAACATTGGGAAATGAAAAAAAAAGAAAAAGTCGTCGTGTTTTGTTAAAGGTTGATCAGCTTTATCTATGGAAATGTTCAACTTTGTTGAACTAGCACATGGCAATATATTTATTCCATCATTGTTTGTATCTTTGTCAGGCTGTTGCAAAAAAACCTCAACTGTTTTCTTAGTATATCTATTACCTTGAAAAACTCGTTTAACTTTTCTATTTTTAAAACTTTTATTCTTTGCCATAATAAAACTTTTTTTAACAACTTTAAACTTTTTTCTTTCTGCTTAACAAATAACATCAAAATATACGGCTTTGCTAAAAATAACTCTGGTTCAAAAGTTTAGTTAATTATACAGACCCATGAAAAGAAATAATTGTTTAAATCTAGGTCTTTGGGTAATATATCTATAAAAAATTATTGGTTGCTATGCGGTTGTTAAGTAAATTTTTTTTACTCTTACCAACTAAAACAATTTTTTTACATTTTTTTATTAATTAACCCATATCATGTTATATAGGTTAAATATCTTTTGGATGATCCAAAAGTAGGTTTGCGATTTTGAAGAAAACACAGACCTAGAATGTTTTTGCTTCACGCTATTGCGCTATTGCGCATGCGAAATTTTTATATAGCTACTTTTGGATCATCCAAACTAACAGTTGATAAACGCCTTGATAGTGCTCGTCACTGCTTGATTCGCTTATTTAATTTTTACATATTTTTGAACTATTTGAATATATTCATAAACTGATAATAAAATGAATGAAGATAGTTCATCCATCGATTTTGAACATGTGTTGAGTAAGATTTATATATACTCCTTACATTTACTATTTAATTATATAGTATATAATATATTAATATAAAATATAGTATATAATATACTACTGTATAATTAAAAATACTTTAACTCTCCTTTAACTCTTTAATTAAGTAATTTAATCTTTATTTTTGAAGTTTTTAAATTTTGTGTCTAAGAACAAGTTTAATGATAATCAGCTTGTTGATTATCATTAAATATGATTAAACTTGTTCTTAGACAAAAAATTTACCCAACGACCATGTCCAACAACAATGTTGTTGGGCATAAAAGTGTAAAATGTTGCAATATCTATTTGTAGCTTTTATGGTTATTTGTGATTTTTTTTTTTTATGTGCCATACTAATAGATCAAGACCCAAACATGTTGGTCAAAGTGTCAAGTCCTACTGCAGGGAGTGAAGTGCAGCAAATTTTTTCAACATTAACAGATGTTTATGCCAAAATTAAAGAACATGAAATGTTACATACTGTGCATTATGTTGTAGCATTTAAACGAACTATGGAACATAATATTGATGGTTTGCATCACTTATATACATATTTCTTATATATATATATGTATGTATGTGTGTATGTATGTATGTGTGTATGTATTAAAACATTTTTTAACATTTTTAAATATCTTATTTTTAATGTTGAAAAAATTAAATAAATCACCAAAATTTTAAACAGAAAAATATTTAATTTTTATTTATCTTTAGATATAATGAAGAAAAACCACAAGATCTATTTTGAGAGTAAAGATCTTCCATTTACTGGAGTCCCATTCATTTTTTCATCATGTAGTACTCTTGATTGTCAACAAGGAAAAGACAAAGGTCTGACAACAAAAGCACAGTATTTAAAAAAGAAAAATGAGAATGCAGTAAGTCACACAATGATGCACAATGTTTTAGATAATGTTTTTTTTTTTTGGAAAAAAAACTCAGGGGTCTGGTTTGTTGTTTTATTTGGGAAATTCATTATTTAAGCTACTTAATTTAACTTTAATGGTAATATCTTATTCTATATTGTATATTTAATTATATATTCGTACTGCAATTCAATTATATATTCATATTTTAATATCAGATTTAAATATTAATATCAATTAATAC